GTAAGAAAGCATTTTTCACGTCAAGTTGATAAATCAACCAAGCCTTAGAAAGAGCCAAACAGAGAACCGTTCGAATAGTCGCCAGTTTGACTACCAGACTAAATGTCTCACCACAATCCACATCAACCTGTTGAGTTTTACCATCACTTACCAGACAGGCTTTGTGCCTCTCAAATGAATCATCAGATTTTTCTTTATGAGCAAAAATCCACATAGACCGAATTACATTAACATTTGCAGTACGTGGCACCAACTCCCACATCTCATTTTCAATAAGAGCATTATATTCATCATTCATAGTCTTTTTCCGATCCGGATTACGAAGAGCAGACACAAGGTTATGAGGTAGAAGGGATTTAGAAACTGATGTAAGAAGGTTAAAGACTTCTTAGGCTTATAAATCCCATGTTGACTCCTACTAAAAGGACTAGAGAGAGAGATCGGAGTTGGGAGAGAAAGAGAGTGGGGTGGGCGAGTGTAAGGAGTTGATCGGATTTGCCCAGCAGGTTGAGGAAGGTCGTGCTGCTCGCTAGGCAAGCTGAATCCACTCGCTAGGCTTGGCGAGGTGGGCTCAAGTGCGTTAGGAAGGGGTGTAACCTGTGGGTTTGGTGAGGTAGTGAAATGATGGACTAGGTAGGGAGATGGCTCATCGTATAGAAACTTATAAGTGTGATTTTGAGGAGTATGTAACTTCGCAAAGGGAAAATGTGTCTTATAAAATATTACGTAAAGGTTAATGATGATTTTTCTAGATGACAAATCAAAGCATTTATACCCACGATTATTTGGAGGATATTCCAAAAAAATAAACAAGGAGTGTATCGGGGTTGAAGTTTGTTTATGATTGTAGAGGAAATAAGAAGATAACATGCACACCCAAATACCCGAAGATGAGAATAAGACAGGTCCTTTTGATAAAGAATGCTTAAAAGAGATTTGATAGTTTAATGGCTTATGAGGAAGGATATTGAGAAGGTAATTTTCCATTTACAAATCATGGTGCCAAAAGGAAGGAGGAAGGGCAGCATGGGCCAATAAGGTATGAACAATTTGTTGATCGTACGATTTATCTTTCAGCTTTCTCATTTTGAGAAAATGTATGAAGACATGAAAGAAGAAATGAAAGACAATTTACTTTTCAAAATTCCCAAAAGGGGTCATTATCAAATTATGTGTCATTATCACATTATATATTCTTTATGTACTGCTCAAATTGGGTTCGAATAAAGGTCTTGAAATTTAAAAATGTGGAAAAATTTTGTGATTTTTGAGATAAAGGAAATGTCCACATAAATTTGAAATAATTGTCCACGAACAAGACATAATAATTATCACCTGATGAACTCAAAACAGGTATCTATAATATCAAATGACATAAATGTGCTAGAATTTGAGGCATAAAATGAAAACTTAACATGTTTTCCAAGAGGAAAAGAATGACAAATACGAAATTCTTAAATTTGATTACATTCAATCAATCTATTCTTCCTAAGGAAATTCAAACCAAGTGCTCTCAAGTGACCCAAATGATCATGCCAAAGAGATGGTGCTAAAGCGAAAAAAATAGATGGAGAAGGGACTGGATTTGTGATGCGATAAAGCTCGCCTCGGCTTTCACACCTCATTACTGGCCTCCATGTCTGAAAATCCTTCACAGAAAACCCAAAGGGATCAAATTCAACAGAAACAGAGTTATCCGTTGTAAATTTTCTAACTAACACAAAATTTTTAACAAGGTGAGGGACATTGTTTAATTGTAAGAGAGGACATGGGAAAGACAATTTAGTGTGACCATAGCCATGAATTGGAATGGATTGACCATTACCAACCATTATACTATGTTTATTGCTCATATTAAAATAAGATGTGAGGTTACCTTGTGCGGATGTCATGTGAAAAGTGGCAACGGTGTACATGTACCAATTCGCATCCGGAGAAGTGATACCAAGAGTATGCATTGCGGCTTCAATGTTGCTTGGAGTTGGAGCTGCAGTGTAGACCTTCTGGGGTTTGGACCAAAGTATACCAGGGGGGATGAGGAGTTATGTGTCGCCTTCTTAGCAACGTCGGCCTCTTCAAGAGTGAGCATCGAACGGGCTTGATAAAATTACAAGTACACCAATGTGCCATTTCTGCTGCTATCCGTAATTAGGCCTGGCCCACGAATTTGAACTTTGAAGGATATGGATAAGAGGTATAGCCCAAGGAGCCCAAGTCAGCTCCTTGTTAAAATATAGTAAAAATAACTTAAATACACAACTATAAGTTTTATATTCTCTAATTTTCCCTTCTTTTTTTAAATATTACATAATTCCCTTTTTTTTAATTTTAGTTTAAGTTTTTAGCTACATTAC